GAAAGAAGAGTAGTGAAATGCATGAATTTCACATGAAACACGCAAAGCATGCATTTCACTGAAGGTCCTGATTTATGAACTTTCTTTGCCCAATTTGTTGCGATGATTGTGCAGCGTTTTCTTTGTAGGACGTACCGTGATGCACTATCATCAAATGCAAATGCTGCTGTGATAGTGAATATTTTATTGCAACATGGTTTGTTCAGTTTCTTCCGCTTTTGCATTATACCAGATCAGACTGTTGTAGCCTATTCATGTACACAGTGAATTGCATATAAGGTTATACATTATGTTATATTGTGAACAAATTAAAATTCTGAATTTTTTTGGCTATTCATATTACCTTAGGGTTACGTTCCCTGCTTATTTCACATGACTTTACAATTATGTGACTTTAAAGGTGAACTGTCGATTTCAGATGACGGAAACTTCAAACGCTGCTTTACAACTTGAAGAAATAGAAGCTCTCCGTGCAATCTACGGCAAGCAGTGGGAATACGATGGAAACAAAACCCTCACTTTTATTGCAGACATCGAAGACAGCAAAAGTATTGTGTTAACGGTTCGTCTTGGCGACAATTATCCTTTGACGGAGCCACCGTATTTCGAGATCAGTTCTCCGTACCTTGGCAAGACCGAGAAAGAAGAGATCACTGGTAAGTTGCAGGACGAATACATGAACAACTTGGGTGCTCCGGTTCTTTATCAGTGGTCAGAAATACTGAGGCATTATGCTAACGATCTGAGAAAAGCTACGCTAAAGCCGCACAGTTCCTCTAGTGTTGAAATCCCTAAAGGCCGAAGCGTAACTGATCTCTGCGTTGAAGAGAGTTACACCGCCCGCTGCGAACCGCCAGTTATCCACACCGGAGAGCCGCTTACCGATCGGAAAAGCACGTTTCAGGCTAGTGTCTGTCCTGTAAAATCCCGAGCAGAAGTTCAGAGGGCACTGGAAACACTGAAGTCAGATAAAAAGGTCTCCCGAGCTACCCACAACATGTACGCCTACCGAATAACGTTGGACGGTAAACGTTTCATTCAAGACTGTGACGACGACGGAGAACACCACGCTGGCTCACGGCTGTTGCATTTGTTGGAAATCACCGACGCCCGGAACGTTTTGGTGGTCGTTTCACGCTGGTACGGAGGGGTGCAGCTAGGCGCCGACCGCTTCAAACACATTAACAACGTTGCCAGAACTTTACTGGAAAGCTGTGGTTATATTAAATATAGGAATAAATAAATCACGCGCTATTATTATTTATGACTATCGTAAAAGAAACCAGGGCAAATAACCTTGCCAACGATGGTACAGCAAACTTTTCGATGGTCGGGTCACCCACTCTCTGAGCCCAGTAAACAACCCATACAATTAAATGGCCCTGATCCACAGCCACAGGTTATTAATTGAGGTGTGACGACTCATCGCTCTCCCCTACTCTTGATAAGTACGTTAATGACCATATTCTAAGCGCTACGATTATGCTCAAAATATGCAGTGATAGCACTACAGTCAGTGAGACATAATCAAGTCGTTTGGAAATATACGGATGATATGATGAACCTGTCAGGTGGAACTGACCCAGGACTCAGGAATCATGAACACTCCAGGACGAAAGCACGTCACAGTGCAAAAATACCTACGCTTGAACATCAAAATCCTCTGAAAGTTCTGAGCTTCGCCTCAGTTGTAGGCGATTCTGAAGCCTTTGATGATTTGATTGATGACAGCCGTTTCGGGCGGCGACAAACCTTTGTTACTGGGAAAAAATTTCATCGTCAGAGCACGAAGACGCCATCGCAATTTTACCTTGTAGAACACGCATGGTCGAGTGAACGGCAATCCTCTCCATTCCAGAGATACGGTCGAAGCATTTCAGCAACCGGTAGACTGCCATCCTCTGTCAATTCCAGAACTACATTGAAATTTTGACTTATCGTACCAGAATTGAATCGTTTGAGGTATCAAATCAAAAGGAATTTCTCACGAGTGAGGGAAAGTCAGATTACTGTTTGCAAAGCATAGAGAACCTTATCACAGCGGCATTCGAAAGTGCGTCATTTCGCTGTCCATTTCCAATACAAAACTCTAGGTTTGTTTCGACATAACACGTTTAATATTCCGCGGTGCTGACGATAGGTAAGACTAAGAGCACATAATTAATTCTGGCCATAATTTTATATATGTTTTATTGAAAATTTATCGCAGGAAGAAAAGATACTTCATTCTCAAATCAAAGAATACGCGATAATCCTGCACGCGATGTTCTGAATTTAAAATTACAGGTACAAGCTTTAAACCATCTTCCATCGCCGCTTCTCCTTTCGGGTCGCGGAGGCAGACGCGTCAGACAGTGCTTCCAACGTTCC